ATATGCTGATCCTTTTTCGTGTTTAACGATCCATTTTCATGGAAAAAGGACTTATTTCTTTCAAGTTCTTTCATTTGTTTACGAAAAATTCCAGGGCTTAGCTGATATATAGCCATTTTCATTCAGCCTCGATTTCATGTTAAAGGGAAAAAGAGCTGTTGGTAAGAGATTAACCCTATTCAGACTGGGGGTGGGGCTTTTCGAACCCCCCCTCCGGCAAAATCGTGATAACTCCTACACCGAAAGAGCTATGACGTTCAAATTTTCTGACTTTTCCTAAAATTTATCTAGGAACATTTTAGTATAATTACCATGTCCATGTGATTAATCATGTTGCCACGGCAACCAGTTTCTGACACATAGGTTTTGGAAAATTTAAAAAATGGTGATTTTTTTGTTTTAAGATCGCGTTTTTACATTTATAGTGCTTTTTGTTGTTAGAATGGTCTTTGCTTGGGACTAGTTTTTGAATTACATCAAAATGTTTAAACATTGAATATTTGGGGGGGAGGGGTGGGGTAAAATTTGTCACTTTTTTGCTTTGACAAATATGCTGCTCTATTTTCCAAATGACACTTCCAAAGTCATTTGTTTGGGTAATAAACATTAGTTTGATACTTCTTTTATACATTCTGAGCTTTTTCCCCTTTGAAAGTTGCTTTAAATTATAATTTTAACAAAAAAACGGAAATCCAAGATGGCGGATCCAAGATGGCGGATCCAAGATGGCGGACAACCATTTCAAATTTTAAATCTTATTGCTTCCTATTGCTTTTTCTCGCTGTACAAGTGTTTCCTTGTTACTAGTTCATAAGAAAGGATAACAAAGAGATGACTTTACCAATATTATTGATATTTTACGTATCTAAGTGGAAAAATAATAAGAAACATTGAAAAATCGGAATATGACGTCACTGTGACGTCATCATTGGGCGTGGCAAGTCAAAACTGGGTGTGGGGCTTCTTTGTACGGAGATGATCATTGTGTGTAAATTTCATGACCCTAGCATTATTGGTTCCAGAGATACAGAGGGGGGTCCGAGGAGCCCCCCCAGTCACAGATTGACCAAAAAAGCCCAGTCTGAATAGGGTTAAGAGAAGATAGTAGTGACTTCTCAAGCCAACTTTTTCGCAATATCACGTAAACTATGTGACATATTTTCTGATACTACACCTTGATTTTCATTGTAAAGATGGCCTCTGAGCATTACAGATCATTCTTTGTAAGAAAAAAAATGAGGCCATCTTTACAATGAAAATCACAGTGTAGTATCAGAAAATATGTCACATAGTTTCAGTGATATCGTGAAAAATTTTGCTTGAAAGGTGGCTGCTACCTTCCCTTTATCTCCTACCAACAGCTCTTTTTCCCTTTAACATGAAATCGAGGCTGAATGAAAATGGCTTTATATCAGCTTAGCCCTGGAATAATTCGTAAACAAATAAAAGAATTTGAAAGAAATAAGTTCCTCTTCTCTGGAAATGGATCGTTAAACACGAAAAACGATCGGCATGTTCCATAAAAGATTGTATCACCCGTTGAACAAAGATACTGTGACACATCTAGGATGATAATCGCTAACAGAATATATTGAAACGAAAGCCTTTTATATCTTACAGGGGTAGGTCACAGACACCATATTGGACTTAAAAGGGAAGAAGCTTCAAAATTTTTCTCTTTCTCGAGAAGTAAAGATCTACACGGTTTACGATTGAAAAGACAATCCGCTACTACTATCGTCGAAGAGTGTTGCAACGAGCAGTGCATTAGTGAAGAAATTATTGAATATTGTTAAATAAGTCAACGCCTTGTAAAATAAAATATCAAACCTCTATCAAGGCATTAATTATTTCTGTAGATTTTATTTTTCCAGTTTGGTGAAAATCATCCTTGATACCGAAACGCCTTCAAATTTAGGAAACCGTCATAATAATAGGTCTATGGAACGTTTTCACATGACGTCACGGAGGCCATATTGGTGTTCCAAAACTATGAAACAGCGGCCATGTTCGTGTTCCAAACCAATCCTGTGGGAGTTGAACCCTTTTATTATGTAAACGATTTCTTTTAATTTGTTCCAACAAATTTGCATAGGCGCTATACTCCTGAATGAAAACGCTCTACATCATGGCTTAAAGGTTGGTTGGCACGTGACGTCACGGTATGCCAAAGTTCGTAGACGGCAAGCGTTTGATATAGCTCCAAAATCGTTTGGGATTTTCCTCTAGGCTACCCCCAATCACATTATTACGATAGTCGTTGTGGGCGGTTTTAAGCAATTTCACCACTTTGTTTCTTTGGCAGCGATATTCAAGCCACGCTGGTGAGCGTTTGTCACCCGTGCTCGTTGCTTTTTTAAGAAGGTTGTCCCGTTTACGCATTTGACGCTTAATTGATCTTGTAATCCAGGGGAGCGAAATTCTTGAAGTTGACATTTTTTAGGGGACATGCTTATCAACTGCTACAGTCAATACGTTCTTAAAGAATGTCCGGTTGTCCCCCAGGTGACTACATGGGCACAGCGAGGGAAAAATTGTGAAGCACCTTTTGAAACATCTTGACAAAATTTGTCGAAATCAGCGAGCCTTATTGTCATATTGGTATGCCTTGTGGGGAGGGCGGGGGGTTCTGTTGTGTTTAGATCAAATATTGAACAAGACAATGGTCGCTCACGCCTGGTATGACCCGTGCGTCAGAAACCAAGGAAGGAACTTAAGCACTAATTGGCCCAAATCTCATTTTTATTCATGACAACCAATTTGAGCCCTTAAATGCGTAAGGAAAAGATTTGACGGGAGTTAAAAAACTCAAAATTTACAAGAATTTGTGTGGAAGACCACTTAAGCGTGATTGAGTGGCAAGAGTTATTATTACTATATATATTTTTTTCATACAAATACTTATAACTTTCGGCGGCCCTTACAACTGATTCTTTTGAGATATAAGGCTAAACATTTACAGGTTACCTAAGTTTAATATGCTCTTTCAGTTCCCGCTGAGAAAATTATACTAAAGCAAAGTATTTTTGTGTTTACAAAAAGTTGATCACGTGACCGACCACTTTTTAGGTGCCCCGCCTTTGGCGAACATTTGATTTTCTTCCGCCAACTAAACAGAACAGAGGAACTACATGTAGCGGTTTAGAGGGAGGATCATTCCACACTAACTTGCCTCTTTATCATAATGAAAAAGTCTAAAAGTTCTCATACTGAATTTAATTTTTTTTCTTGACATGAATACAAAGTCCAAGTAAATATAGTCAACTCTCTCTTAATACAGACTTCACCTTTATAAGAGTGATAAACCCCTACAAAAGGAAATAACCGGTTGAGGCTATTAGTACCGCTGCAAAGGCAGCGTTCAACCCAATCGCTCCAAATCTTGGCTTGGCTTGGTTTTCCCCTCCTAAGAAATGTAAACATTTAGTTCCAACATTGCCCCTTAGGCCCTGTCCATAAGTATCCGTATTCGTTTGAAAACGCAACTTTCTTTCTCCGTACTGTTTTCGCATCGGTTTCGCCCGTCCACACGTATACGACGAATCGATTTAAAGACGTTAACTTCGGCCGACTGCGCACTTTTGACGCGTACGTGTTCGCTATTATGAGCTCGCGAAATAATAAATTGGCGCCATCTTTGAATTTCTTCGGTGTGGGTTTATTTATTGTTGTGACGTTTTTCAAAGTCGCAGAAACAGTTTAAAATGTTAAAATCAGGGCAAAAACACAGTCAAACTAAATGGAGATCCAGCCTTCCACCTCTTGACACCGGTAACGAAAGTAACCTGATAATGTTCTGCCGCTTCCTTGAATAATCAAAGCCAAATTTGCTTGAAAACAAGAAATTAGGTTGGAAATAAGCGCAAGTATAAAAGGCAAAAAAGGGAAGCGCCCGTCCGTCATCTTGAATACGTTTCTAATATTACGCGGAGTGGATTGGAACAGATAGCGTGTTCTCAGTGTTTTCGAAAAGTTCCGTTTTCGTCTGTCCACACGCACACGCGAAAACAGCGTTTTCAAAAAGTTCCACTCTGGAGAGCGTTTTCGAAAAGTTCCGTTTTTGTTGATCGTTTTCATCGGATACGTTTGGACGGAAGCCGTATCTGTAAAGTTGCGTTTTCAAATGAAAACGGATACGTGTGGACAGGACCTAAGCCTCAAGAAGACGAGACGTTTTTATCTTAGTTGGATTTTCTATTCTCTTTGTTTAGTATACATCATTCGAAACTGTTGTAAATGCAAATACTTTTTACCCCTCCTAATACAAACTTTTTTTTTATAAGGACATCTCTAATTCTTCTAGGGAACTAAATTGCTGTCCTGAATAGGGTCAGGGATAGACCATTTCAGAGTTTGTACAAAGCTTCTGTTTGAAAGGTTAAGTGCGAATCTATGGACATGAGAGTGTTTTTCAATCTCATGCATACTTCATTTTCACGAGGAACGTTTTGCACTTGAGTTCCGCCCACACGTGCACATATCCATTTTAGCTTGAATACGCAAAATTTTGATCACGGCTCTGGTTTAGCCTACCGTCCACGCGTATGTGGTGAAAACGCAACTTTTCAAAAACGCTCTCCAGAGTGGAAAACGCCGGCTACTCATTCATTTTCGTGTGCACGAACGAAAACGGAGATTTAAAAATACGATGATGTCATACATCATATACTATCATTACGTGTGCTCCGTAAGGGATACTATCGTACTTTCATCGTTTTAGCGTTTTCCTGTGGACGGGCGGAAACGATTGGAATACGCCACGTGTGGAAGCGTATTACAAAAAAAAAGAACAGAGGTAAAAATCTCCCGTTTTCTACAATATCTGGATACGTGCTGAAGTGGCCTTAGCCTCGTTTGAAAGTGAGAATTTTTGGAACTCGAAAATGCCTTATTAAGAGAGTTGACCGTTTATATGATTACTTTTTTTCTACAAATGAAGAAAACAGTAAAGTATCGTTCAACCTTCGCCCTCAAAGGTGGAGCCATGAAAAAGGCTTTGACTATATATACCACCCAAACACATCAACGCAACTCTCGCCACCATTGTTAGATTCACTGCAATCCGCCATGTCCTGGCCATACCAGATCCAAAACTGCTGATCCAGAGTCACCTGCAACGGATCTGATGATGTGTTGAAGATGATTTCAGGAGAGACGTCATTAAATCCGTTGAGCTTGTAGGTGTAAAGCCTCTGGTTGTCGCAGTATGGGCCGCCAATTTGAGTTAAATTCGGTCGAGGCAGAAGTATGCTTTTTTGGTCTGAGTGCGAAATGAATGTCATCAGTGTCTTGCTGCCATAGTCGGAACTCTGACATCCCCAATAAGAGGTAGGGTTTCCGTTAAAACAGACCAGAGTACCAGATAAGTGAACAAGCTTAAAAGCTCCAATGACTCCTGCTTGGGGAATACTGAAAACGCCATAGTTTTCATCTCTTGTTCGGAAACACGCATCGATGGTGTTCAACTTTACCCACACAACTAAATGAAAGATAATTGGCATTATTTTATTCTACGTTTGTCGATGTAAGAGTCTTTTTGTCTTTTTCCCTAGTAACATGTGTAGTCGACAATTCGCTCCGAGCATGGAAGATAAACTGATGTCCAATTCACACCAAATAAAGCCTGTAACTTTAAGACCTAAAACACAGGCTTTTTGACAGAAGTCAAATATACTTAAACATGGCAATTATTATTACTCTAACTTACCTATCAATAAAAATGCAGTAAACGGCTTTTTTTTTAAAGAAAACAAGTTGAAAGCGATTTTGACTTAACAGCTTTTAAGGCATATTCAAGATCTAGTGTGAATGGGGCTCATGACAGACTTGGATTCCTGATTCCACGCCGTGGTTTCCGGATTCATTGTCCTGGATTCCATATTCCTTCAAAGGGGATTTTCAATTCCGGATTCCAATCGTGGTAAGCGCGATTCCGGGGGTATTCAGCGTTGAAATAAAAATCCCGGATTCTGAATTCCACTAACTTACTTTACCCGGATTCTGGAATCCAGATTACCATATATGGGGCAATACATGCAATCAAGAGGAGATCCGAAGTTGAATTCTAAAAAACGATATAACTCAAAGTCCTTTCCTTTTTTTTCTGTCATATTTTTAGAAGTGAGGGCAAATTAAGTTATAATTCACTCATGGGCCCCTCTGGAACATAACAAACGTAAAAATTCTTTTCTTACATTGGTCACATGCCTCTCCAGTATATCCCGTGTGGCACTGACAACGATAGCCTTTATCGCCGAATCCATTCTGACAGTTTTTGTTAAGCGGGCATGGATTCTTGGAACAGTGATTCTCCTGAATACGGAAAGATAAAGACTAGTTCATCTTTTAACCCTCGGACGTACAGGGGAGGCACCCCCCATAAGGTTTTTCTCATATTTTTCCTAATTGATAAATCATCGGCACCTAAAGTTTTCCGTAGCTGTTCGTTTATCCTTCGCACCCATTTTTAGACAAGCTTAGTAATGGTCAGTTACAATCGTTATGAGGTATGACGTCGAAAGTAGCAGGTGGACAAGCCATTTCTGAGTGAAAATGGATGTTTTTCAACAATAAAAGTAAAACTTTTGGATGAAACTATGCAAAGTAATTATTTATGTGTTATTTTACATGTTAGGGGCAAAACATTATTAATTCTCACTGTTTTTTGATGTCGTAGAGACGTTTGTTCTAGGGCCATCGATTCATCCTCACATACGTGGCTTAGACCATTCTTAAGTAAATAAATTTATGGAGAGCTAATGGGCAATTTTTAAAAGGGAGTGTTTTAAGTCAACGTGCAGATACCGCTTACTTTGCTTGTACAGTATATGAAGTTATTCTCTGGCTGAAGATCGTCAGGATGAAGCCTGTGATCTGAATCACTTAGTTCACAGCGGTGTTTGTTGTCCACCAAACGGAGATCAAAATTATAAGAGATGCACTTGCTCTCCAAGTAGCAGTTTATTCTGCAGATTTCTTCGTCCAGTACAAAAATTGTCTTGAAAACGTGGTCTTTAAGAGCTTGACCACGTGAATGTTGCTCAAATTCAAGTTTTCGGCACATATCTGAAAGATGAAATAAGAACTAAAACACTGTAAATGAAAACAAACAAGTTTCGAGGGACTCGAGCAAAAGAAAACAGTGGTTTGACTTCTGATCTCATCCTCCATGTCATCAAAAAAAAAATCTCAAAAAAATTGTGAATTAAAAAAGCCATTTTTGGAGAGAAGAAATGATAAGTTCAATTTTAGCATTATTTCATTAATTTGTTTATTCATAAAATCTAAAAAAGAGGCAAACTCTTAGGGCAAATACTGAGATAATCCTACATCTTGTTCATGAATGCATATCCACTTTTTTTTAAATTTTGAGGAAAAATAACATTCTAAGGAATTAGTTTATTAATTCATTTTGAATGATATTCTAAAGCCTTATGGTTAAATGTTATGTTGTGATCCACGTTTCATCTAAGTTGTAAGTTCAAATATTTACATAATATATATACCTTCACTTCCAGAGGCGTATTTGAGATGAAGCGAGATTCCCCCAAAAACCACGGAACACACTATTTTGGATATCAGTTGTATCATCTTGCTTTTTGACAATTATTAAGCGTCCACGCGAAGGACAAAAGCGGTTTGATTGATGGGGATATATCACGTACACCAGCTTTTGAGACAACACTAACTAATTCAAATTTGACACTTTTAAAAATTGTAGAATGGTAATCAACTACTTTACCAGAAAGCCCAACCAATTTAGTGTTCACAGTACTCCCGTCAGCAACAAAACGAGTGCGTTGGTGTTTTAACATTGAGCTGGAAATCGGTTTGGGTGGTGTTCGAGCTGTCGCTGTATTAACGGCCAAAACATTATTATTTATTTAAAAGAGGAAAACCAGCTGTCAACATCAGCTCACGGCAACTACTATTTACGAGTTTAAGTTAACCCGTTAAACCCTAAGATCAAAACTGAATTCTCATTTGTTGTCCCTATTCATTTCCTACAGAACTAGTGGGGAGAAGTTGATAAAATATAAAGCAAATTCATCTTGGGTGATCATGTCTGTAATTCTCATGATCACTCTTTTTTACGACCATTGATATTACAAGGAGAAATTAGATGCTGATCTCTCTTAGGGCTTAAAGGGTTATTACTGGTTACATTTAGATTTATTCTGAGATATTAAACGTATATTCAAACTTAAGACAATTTGATTTGCGTTATTCGTTACCCTCTTTTGATGCTATCTGTAGGCGGTATGTTTTCCAATCTTAAAAATCGAACAAATAGACTTAATCTTTTTCAGTTTTGTTTTGTTTTGCTTCTTGTTTCTATTTTTAATTTCATTTCTCGCAACCTCCTGCCGTGCTAAAAGTTTGCCTTTTCTAAGTTAACCGTATCCAGAGCGTGTTTTACTGCTTCATGCGACGATGGGGAGGGGGGGAGGGGGAGAGGGGTAGGTTCGAGCTCCCCCCTTATAACTTTAAAAGCACTAATGCTGCAGCCACGAAAATTACACAGAGTAATTTATTCATTGTTGCTAACTTATGGGCATAACTTGATTGACGCAATGAGTAATTTTTCGTCATTATGACGTCATATTGTTGAATTTATTGGCAGATTTAAAATTACCCTTATTTAAAGTAGACATTAGTTTGTAAAGCCAAAAATACTTAATAAATAGTAAGGTGTCTGATAAAATCAAGAAGTTAACTTTCATGCATGAAATGTTTGTCGTTTACAAGTAGGATGGAAGTAGAACGAGGAATATTCATGGTATATGCGATTTTGTTCAAAGCGTTAACTAGACTTTTTGTGTGGTTGTATATTTTTAAGCCATTTTGCAGTTTCATGCATCCAGTGTTTATCGTGTAGAGTGCTGATACATACACATAAGAATGGTGATTTCGGTGCGATTTCTGTAACGGAGCAAATTAAAGGTGCGCCGCGCCGATCTCTAAAGAGGAGCCTTCACATATCGGGTAGCATGGGTCTTCATACGATACTGGATAGTGGCGAATTCAGAGGAGATGCTCCGCCCCCGCCACCTTATTTTTAGTCTAAACTGTGACCGCCCCTTCCCCCCCCCCGCCCCTTATCTGGAGGTCAGGATCAGCGATAATTAGGTATACGGTGTGGTGCGAACATACGCCTTAGTTTTTCCTTGGGCGTTGCAATAACGTTTGGAAGCGAAGTGATAGTTGTTCATGCTATATACCACCCGAATACATCCACGCAGCTCTCTCCACGGTTATTCCCTTCACTGCAATCCGCGAAGTCCTGACCAAACCAAATCCAAAACTGCTGATTCAGAGACACTTGCAATGGGTCCGATGTTGTGTTAAAGATGATTTCGGGAGAGACATCATTAAACCTGTCAAGCTTGTAGGTGAAGTCGTTATCACAGCCTCCCCAAGGGCCACCCATTTGAGTTGTGTTTGGTCGCGGGAGAAGTATGCTTCGTTCGTCTGGATGCGAAATGAATGTCATCAGTGTCTTGTCACCATAATGGGAACTTATACATCCCCAGTAGGAGATGGGACTTCCTGGATAGCACCTCAGAAAACCATAGAGGTGAACAAGCTTCAATGCACCAATGTATCCCCCTTGAGTGACATTGAAGACACCATAGCTGTCATCTCGTGTTCCAAAACACACAGCATCGACGTTCAACTTAACCCACGCAACTAAATAAAGACAAAAAAGAGATTTGATCATCGATCTTTTGGAAAAAGAGAAAATAAAAAAAAAATTAGAAAAAAAAAAAACCGGCGCGGAAATTAACAAGAGGCCACTTCCTCTTCTTTTTGCTTTAATATATTATATTAATTAGAGTTTTGAGGGAAAGAAACATTGTTAAGATTACTTATAAGTGGCAGGCAATAATTAGTTAAATAAATTAGAAATTAACACCTAAAATAGACATTAACAATCATAATGTACGAGAAAGTAATAAATGAAATGAAATAAAATAACATACAATAAATGATTTCACTTACTCCGGTCGCAATCCTTTCCGGTGAATCCGAAGTGGCATTGACATCGAAAGCCTTTTTCCCCAAATCCATTCTGACAGTAGCTATGAGGTGGACAGTGGGCCGTCGAACATTTGTTCGCCTGAATAAGAAAAGATAAAGAACTGTCAGAACTGAACGGTCAAGCAGAGAGGCAGTCAGGGGATAATACCGTCCCTCCCTTAGCAAGTGGTATTTTGTCGTTCGGACGCGGTTCCTAAGCTCGAAGGTATTCAAACGGGTTGCAAACGGATCATTGCGAATCGAAGACGTCAAATAGGCAATTATCGTGCAGTTGCTATGGATTTTGGAGCCAATGGCCGACATAAAGGAGCACACATGTTGCATATGGTTTAGATGATCTCAATTTGCGTAGCTTTGTTCATTATTTGAGGAATTATTGTGCTTTAATACACGGGATCGAAGATGACAGATCGGCCCTCAAGTTAGCCTCTAATTGTAATCGGTGGATGCTGCCCCGAGTGCAAAACGCAGAAAAATACTACCTCATTAGACAAGCCAGGACTCACTAGAGGATATCACTGCAGCTAAAGGTATGCAAGCTTTGCTGTGTAATATTTAAAATTTTTATTTTAATTTTAGGCTAAATGTTTAGTTCTCTATTAATAATCGTTGAAGGTTAGGATGAAGGGGCTCATGAAAGGGTCGAATTCGATGTAAAACAGTAAATTTCAATGGAAATTAAACAAGGACAAATGGGCAGACAACGATATCATAGCATAAAACATTTATTTGGAAGTTCTACAAAAGGTATATTTTGACTCCTCTTTAGTCGAGTTTAGTCAACTACAGGTCCAATACACTCTTGCCGATCTATTATCCGTATCGTATTGTTATTGATACAGTACGTCTCGGCTGTCTGTGCTTTGACACGTTGATGATAGCTGAAGCACCACAATTTTTCTTTCGCCCATCTAAGAGAACTCAAGACAATCTTGAATTCTGGATTCCACGCGGTGGATTACGGATTCTTTGTCAGTGGAACTTGCATTTCAGATTCCAGTCGTTAGTGGGACTCGGATTCTTTGATCCTTATTACGGATTCCAAAGCCCAGGATTCCGGATTTGTACAGATAATAGCATGATTTGTAGTGATATTTGGCATAAATACCACGAGTGATATTTCGAAATTGTTGTACGTAATTTCACGAGCCGTTAGGCGAGTGAAATTTGAGACAATTTTGAGATGTCACGAGTGGTATGTATGCTAAATATCAAGTACAAACTAGTAATAGTTGACATTACAGCTGCCCCTGTTCTGTATATTGTCGGTCAATAGTATTCTTTCTCGTTGTGTAGCTCTTTGAAATATACCAATTCATAATGAAGATTTTCACACATCAAAAAGGCCATACAATAGGTGAGATAAATACAGGAAACGCAAGGTTCCATGCACAGTTTCAGCTCAATTTACACAGTTTTGATCAAAACATGCTCAGTTTTGAGAATAGTTTATTCTAAACCATAAGAAAATATTTAATTAGAAGTTGAATTTTCCGGTATTTCTCTTTCTCTTTTTACATTCAGTTCATTTTATTTGCCGGAAAGTAAGCCTTTCAAATAAAAAGAACGTTTGATCGATTCACGCTTGCGCATTCTAGTCTTATTTGAAACTTTATAACGGAAAGACATCTGTGAGCAGGGAAAAAGTCAGCGCCGAAATTGATTGTCGGCGAATTTCTGTAATTTTCCATCGTTCTGCTTGTGATAAGCTAGCCGTTGTTCACTACCCTTGCTTGTTTGGGGCTGAGTCTTATTCCGGTCAAAGAGAGAGAAAGAGTGTCTGGCAAGGTTTCCAATATAAATGAAAGATTTGTGAACTCGTGTCTGGCAAACTCTCCAAGTGTTTATATATACACAGTTAAACGCACCTTATAACCTCATCTGTGCTTAACGAGTGTCTTTTGGTCCATAGAATGTCATTGCGTAACGCAAAAGAGTATCGAAGTATGACTGCACAATAAATGTCACAAAATCTACCTGAGCGGTCCTGTCTTTACGTCATCCTAACCATTTCGTACTTGCGGGCGCAAAAAATGGAAACGTCATCATTACCCACCGATTCCTCGCGGCCCCTGTTCAAGCAAATCGAGATTTTTTCTATATCAACTGTATGACTGTATATTTCAACTGTAAGTACTTTCCTTAATATACGCGCGAGTTACTAGAGTGCCTCCTCGGGATTTCGCTTTCTGGGCGAAATCCCTGCGGGGGTAATCACGCTATTATTTGTTTATACTACCACCAGCAATAGTTTTGTAATTTTCACATGTAGGTATTTCAAATTAAGCTGAAATACCACTGCTCTAAGCCAATCAAATTGCAGAAACTTCTCATGTAGTAGTATAACACAAGAAAAATTACGTGGATTCCAGTTTCCACGAAAGAAAAATTTCCTGGAATCCGGATTCCCTTTCATGGGGCAATGCACTTGGCCCTGACTCGGTTTGACACATAAGCTTCTTTTTGCAGGAAAACTAAACAACATCTACTACTCCGTTCTCTTTCTCGCATGCGGTATTTTCCGTTTCAAAAAATTACATCGACATCAACTGACAGATGTTGGACTAGAAGTGATCGAAATGGTTTGCCTTTACTTGAATAGAATTTAAGATCTCTCGCTTATCCAAGAATACCCTGCGAATAGAGCTGTCTCTCCTCGCTCCGTTGCAGCGAAACGTCTTTACTTGAATAGCGATGAGAGACAGCTCTGTTCGTAGGTTATCGCTCTACCGTTTGTTAGAGTCTATGTTTGAGGACATCCACTGTGATGTGATTACAGGCCAGGGTAAGAGTGAATGCGGTTTTGCGCACAGGTTTTCGCCCCTACTATTTGAACGTGTGGCTACTTTTTCTTCATTTCATCTTCGAATAAGAAACTGATTATCGTCTTATGTAAGGGAATCGAAGAAAGTCTCGGATTCTGGTTTCGAGGCCTTGAATTCCATATTCCAGGAACTGGATTCCAGTCTTTGTCGGTGGAACTTGGATTCTGGATTCCAATCTTTAGTGCGATTCCGGATTCTTTCAGCTGTATTCCGGATTCCACAAGCAAAATTTTCCTGGACTCTGGAACCAAGATTCCCTTACCTAGTGCTATGAAAAGCTGCATGGCAGAACAAGTGGAACAAATGAAAATTTAACTGGATCTTGGCTATTGAGACGCCTTTGAATAACAAGGAGCACAACAAATCAGTAGAAATATATTTTACCTTGCTTGCACCATATATGAAACCATTCATTAGCTGTAGATCTTCTGGGTGTTGCCTGTGATCTGAATCGCTCAATTCACAAAAGTTCTTGTTTTTGACGAAGTTGTAGGAGATGCAGTTGTTCTCCAGGTAGCAGTTTAACCTACAGAGTTCTTCGTCTTCAACAAAAATTGCCTTGAAGACATGGCCTCTAAGAGCATGGTCCTTTAAATGATGGTTGAACTCAGTTTTTCTGCACATTTCTGAAAACAAAACATGAAACTTTCTAAAGTCGGGGCTGAATTTAAAAAAGGCATAAAATACTCAACTGGAAGTCTTAGCCTGCGTAGCTGGTGGAATTGTCATGCGCCGGGCATTTTCTTTCTGCGCGGGGTACTCTCTCAGCTCGCGCGTCCTATCGTGGCTCTCTTCCCTTGCCCCATAGAAGAGCTTGCTCGTCACATAGGAGAGCTTGCTCGCAGGCTGGGTGGCGGAGACAAACTGCTCGCGGTTCAGCCACCAACAAACAAACGGAAAAAAAAAAACAGCAACAACAATATTCACCCGCTAATCCCGTCAGCTACGCAGGCTTTGAATAGTACTTTATTCTCAGCGTTCTCTCTCTCACGCTGTATCGAGTTTGGGCACCGAAAGTCTCTTTGGTTGAAGGAGTGCCCAAACGTCCCTTAATCACTAGACCACCAGGCATTCCCATTCTCAGCATACCCAAACTCAAAGCACCTCATTCTTAAACTCCCAAAATGTGTCAACGGGACTAAGTATTAACGTTAGGAGTGGGTGGAAAAGCGGAAACAAAGTTTTTTAGACGGTTAAGTTCCATGTAGTTCTCCACCAGTGCTGATGTAGCGAAAGAATCTGCGGATAACAAATGAGAGGGACTGCCTACACGAAGCACCTCTGCTAGTTTCATGTAGTAAAGAGTGGTTTCTTTGTTATTCCATCCAACATGAGACATTATGTCCGCCAACTTGGAGCCAGATAAAGCCAAAGTTATTACTGAGCCCGAACGAAAGCTGTGTAGCGTTTTTCCTTCGTAGATCTGAGCCTCTTTCAAATACAGCTTCAAACGCTAATATGCTGTTGAGCTTGCCAATGGTTTGTTGACAATATGACCTTGGGGGTTTGTTCGTCGCAATAAGTAGCCGTTTGTCACGGAAATCCGTAACTCAGAAGCTACGGCAACATATAATGTCTCAATCGCTTTAACTGGACACAACTCAGGGTTAAGATGTCTCCGAATCCCGAAAACGTTAGAGGTGCCGTCTCTTAGAGTTTTCCCACATACATGATTGAACAACAGCCCATCGTCCTGGGGAAAACGCAAGATTTCCTCAGTTTTCACCATTCCAAGATCAGAACCACGATCACCGCTGAAGAATAATGTTTTGAAAAAGGCTTGATCTCGAGCCAAAATAAACAGACCAGAAGGATTAATTGAGTGCGCGGCGATTTTCCGATTCAAAAAACGGGCCAGAAGCAACAATTTTGGCAAGAATAGGGGGACTGCTTGCTTTGGCGTGATGCGGGCTTGAAATTGTTCCTCTGTTGATGCTTCAGATATTTTTGTACTTCTGGCGAAGCGGCAGGATTGCCTAAGCCTAACATAGAGTTCCATTTACCACCACGACCGGTTTCCTTAAATATTGCTCGTAGTTTTCCGATGTAGGAGTCAACTGTTTTGAATGCCAGGCGTTTAGGGCATTTACAATTGGCGGTACGTTGGAGGTGGGAGTCAGAATACCCATCACTATGGACTATCGTTTTACCATGCCGGTCTTTCCAGGCCAAGAAACGATTAATATCCATAGGGCTTGCTGAAAGGATGGTTTTACTATTCGGAAGGGATACCAAGAATTTTTCGAACTCAGGAAGCGAACACTTCTGCCCTGAGTATATGTTGACTGTAGGGAGGCACTTTTAAGTTCTTCTAAACGGTTGTCTATGGCTTGAAGGTCGACTGAAATTTTAGAAGTGGGAACATTTTGGGAATTCGTTTGCCTCCGGTAGCCGCACATTTGGCAAAAAAGGAACAGATTGTCGTTAGGGTAGCTGCACGAGGGACATGACTCAGCCGGAACAAACGCTCGCACAGCGAAAGGTATGACCTAAAGAAATCAAAAGAAAAGGAGAGAATCGTAATAATTATAAATGCGATTATAAAATAACTGTCAACCGACATTATAGTTAAGAATGATTTATTCAACAACATTCGTTTCAATGGTTTACATAAGAGGAAATTATGAATCGGACAGAAGAGGCATATCCAAAAACAGTTAAATGTCCTTTGCTCGCCCAGTGCACTAACTACTCCTGTCCAATGCGGAAAACCCAGAGATCCCAAGGGATAGGCCAATGGTTTGAAAACCCATTTCTGGAGGGCTTAAGGAGAGCTCCAGCGGTTCCGGCAAAGGCTAACAGGTGTCGCGCCGAAGGAACATGTAGACGTTAACAAGGGCCACCAAAAACGCCTTGGGCATACGTCAGGAATCACGATGGTATAGGATAGTTGCAAGCTTCGCAGATACTGGATAACGTGAGGTATAAGGCAGATCGGTGGAAACACGTAAAGGTTCTTAAATATGGACACATCATAAAGATCAGGTGACTGCACGATGACGTTTATTCCCAGGGATCCAGGCAGAAGAGTCTCAGAGAAAAACGGTAAGTGGGCACCTGACAAGTCGGATTGAGCGTTTGAGGGACGCGCCATTAAGTCGACAGCGTGTCCATCCTCGCCGCCATACAATTCTTGTACGACTACCCATAAGGATGGGCATAATTTAGCGTCCTGCAGGGTAAGGTGTCGTGAGTGGGGATCTGCTTGGTTCTGAAAACTAGGCACAAACGTAAGGTGCAAATCGATATTCAGCTTTGTCATCGTGCGAAATAGTTTCTTCAAGGCGTCTGAAAGCGTGTGAGAACGGGAGCCCTGCCGGGTCCATGAACGGACCAGAACCATGCTGTCGACGAAGGCGTCGACCCATGAGTTTTTAATGGAATCCGCGAATGACTCAAGGACGTTGTTTAGAGCCAAGGTCTCTTTTGTAGCGATATCGGGCTGTATTGCCGATCGAGGCATCCCAGTAATCATAGACTTTCACCTCAATAGCATTTGGGCTTAGAGCACCTCCCCAAGCAAAGTGAGATGAGTCGGAGAACAGCTTGACGTGTGTGTGCTTTTCAGACCGCCAGGGAAGAAAGCCGTCCCAAGACTCAAGAAAGAGCCAGTGTTCAATTTCTTTCTTCAGAGCAGGAGACATTTTCAACGGCCGCGAAGAGCGAGTAGCCCCAGAGACAGCAAGGTTAATTTCGTTAACATAAAGCCTCGCGCCTGGAACTGCCAGACTCATGGACATGCTTTTACCGCTAAGCCGCTGCAGAGTTAATAGATCCAAGCAATGGCGATGCAAAATTTCTTTGACGAGTCGAATAAACTTTTCCTTTTTATGTGGCAACAAAATAAACGCTTGTCGTTCTGAATCGATAATGAACCCAAGGTATGGCACTTGCTTTTGAGGGGTGAGTACAGACTGTGCCAGGCCGATGAAGTAGCCAAGGGAAGTTAAGACGTAGCACGTGAGAAAAGTACCCGCGCGGGCCACAGCGAAATTCACTTCATCCGTTGTGCGAGAGCTCAATAGGCGGATGACAAGGAGCCAGCTGGAAATGTCAGTTGGCCATCATGGCGATCGTCAATGTACAACGAAGAAGGAATGTTCCAGGGATACAATCACTCAGAAAGTACCAGCCTACCCATTAGAAACCAAAGTAGGTTCGACTGCTGGGGTGAAGTTTTATGTGATCATATCCTGACTTGTCGTCACACACTGTCTTGTAAAAGCCTTTATGAACATCCTTAGGCAAATGTTGGACACTATACAGGGAAATTGGAGGGTCTTCAATCCAAAGAGTAAGAAATCTGTCAGCGTTACAGAGACGCGGTTTGCTGGGCTCTACAGTGAGGGGTAAAACGAGGTGAGGTAGGGTGCATTCTCCGACTTTACCCTACAGGGAAATAGCCCCAGAACGCAAACGGTCCATGAGCGTATTAGATATAAACGAGGTAAACGGTTTGCATGAAATGTGATTGGGGAGAACACAACGCGATGGAATACTGCACTCGTAATTCTTTCCTTTGTAACTACCTTTAAACGGTCTAAGAAACTTGGTTACATCCACACCGTTAGTAATCCAATCACGGACTTCGGTGAAGCGATCGTCGTTCAGATCATCTATTAACGAAAGCCATTGAGGTGTATGGCGATGAAGTTCCCCTGCCCGAAGTTGATTTGGATCACGGAAAACAAGACGTGACATATCTGCTTATGACTTTCCTTGTAACACTAGGGCGATGTCCTCAACTGGAATATGGGCATTGTTTGCCATCCCCTGGGCCCCAACAATAACAGATCCATTGATGTCTATCCACTGCAATTCATTCGTAGTAACTGTTTCCGGCTTGAAACTAGGTCATTTTTCCCAGTCATGAAAGAAAGGGTTCGCAAACTAAGATGAAAAAAAAAGAGAAAAAAAAAGAGTGGAAGTTATAACGGCCCAAGGGATGGCAAACTCAGCCCCGGTAATCCGAAAGGGAAAGTGAGCTTCCCTTTGAGAATGCCACCCGAGGGGGAAAGGCGGGGAATAGAAGTGGAAAATTCTCCGACTGAAATTAATAAAGGTGCCCAATATGTTGGCAAAATTAAGCCCTATACCACCACAATAAGAAGACTCGTAAGTTAAGCTAACCTAGGAGAAAGGGGGAATACAAAAAGACAACACACATTGTAATGATGTTTGTTTGACTTCAATAGCATCAAAACGCATATTACTGAGAGGCCGATCGGGGTTATTGTGACCTGGGTGGCCAGGAGAAAAGTTGCGGGCCGCCGAAACTCTCTTCCAACATTGTGTAGTCTTGTGGCCGTGGGTTCCGCACCTATAGCACGTTATCCGTGGGTAAGGGGAAGACCTCAGATTGCCTCTGGCCTGTGTACGGAAGTATGGCATAGGACGTCTAAACGACTTCTCAACTTTGGCGATGGTATCAAAGATCCTTGTATACTCCTTATCTGCCAGGAGAGCCAGGAAGTAAGCCTTAAATTGCTCTTTCGGGACATGGATTTTCGCCCTGAGGCTGGTTACGATGATGTCATAACTGGCCGCTTTGGTGTCGCTGGTAGTCTTCACCACAGAAACGAGTTAAAATAAATGGTAACAGTATCCATAAAAGTAGAAAGCGACTTGACTTTGAAGCAGAACGCAATAGAAGCTGCACAAGAGTTAAAATCGTCCAGAAAACAACCAAGCGAAGGTAATAAACCGGGCATAATATAAACTGGAGAGTCTGGCTAAAATTTCCGACAAAGCTAAACGCTATAGGCTTAAGCAGGTCATAATATGTTCTAGAACAACTATTAGCAGGGCATACAATAACTGGAAAGTCGAGCCAAAATGAATATGGGCAAATTTCGTGATAAAGCTCCTTAAAGACCGCCCGCAACTCAAAGAAAAACGTTGCCAACGGCACTTGCCCGCCAAACTAGAAAGTTACACGTTCTAAAGCAGGACAAAACAGGAGTTGCCCGCAAAACTACACACCACCAACAGAGCGCAAAATAACTGGAAAATCAATTGAAAATTTCCTTGAAAGCCAGAAAGCTACACACTTAAAAGCACGGAATAATATCAATTGTAAACGAACTCAAAATTACCCGCAAACTACACGTTATCAGAAGACAATAAAGGATTGCCCGCAAAGCCAAAAAGCTACAAGTTTTAAAGCAGGGTGCAACATTAACTATAAACAAACTTTAAATTGCCCCCAAAAATTACACGTTAGCAGCATGGCATATTAAAATGGAAATGAACAGTGACTAAAGTAGAATAAGATTGTGAAGCAGGGCATAACACCAGCTGGAAATAGGCTTGAATTGCCCTCAAAACTACTCGTATAATCCAAGATTGCCTCCAAAGCTACAAAACAACACGTTTTGAGGCAGGGTAGAAAGTGGACTGTACAATTCAACATTGGCCGCCAAAGAAATAAGCGGAGTATATGAACGGCAAAAAAAAAAAAAACCTGAGAGGAAATTTAACTTCGTCCGCAAAACAGTTACTATAAAACTATAAGTTACGAAGCAGGGCATCACAACACGAGATGAAAATGAACTAAAAGCGGCGATGAAGACAACACGTGTTGCGAAGCAAAACAGACTTAAGACAAAAAAAATTAAACAGAGATCAAGAGTGACCTCTTCTGCCGCGGCGTTTTGTGGATTAACAGGCGGTTCATCCGGGTTCTGTGGAGGTGGAGGCGGTGACTGGTTTAAAACTGCTGCTGCTTGAGCCGCTTGAAGGTTTTGGTCTGCCATTTTAACTAGACCGCCTCGCAAGATCGATAGAATGGCATTATTTATTCCGCCTCACCTCCTTTTATAAGTGAGAGGTGAGACCGCTAAGAATAGTCCAAAGTCTACCTCACTCATTTAACTAATGAAACACCGAAACTCCCAAATGGCTCACTTAAAAAATTTGTTAAGAATTAAGGGTTATTAGTACATCGAAACGTGCTCGAGCCCAATTTAATCCTTATCAGTTGTAAAGATAACAGTGTAACAAATAGAGATGATTTTAAGAACTATGACTGACTTTTTTTTTGTTTTACTTTAATCGTTGGCCATCTGTCTATGCCCCTTTTTTTCTAACTAATTTCCTGTACTTGTAATTTGCTATCTAGTCATTTTCTTTTTCGAAAAAAAAAAGTCTACCTTCATTTCCATAGGCGCAGGTAGAGAAAAACGCGATTCCTACGACAACCAGAAAATGTACCATTACGAAAATCCCAGCCTCGGCCTGTTTCTATTCGGTTGTGTTAAACAAGGATAAAAACTACAGTATGTGATTTCTTCGCCAACAACCTGGCGTTTTATTCGTTACTTTTACACCTTAATACGTACAACTCGCACCTTAAGTTAATGATTCATTTGATTATAACGAGCGCAGTATTGCTGTATTGAACTGGAAATTGGTAGTTGTTAATTATTAACTTCAAAATGTATATTGCAGCATTAATTGACAGTCTCTAAATGTAAAGTGTCATCCTATTACGCTCATTTAACATTGACATGTAGATGGGCAATGAGTTGTATGAGACATTATCTTTTGTCAGGGAAATCTGGCTCGCATATAAACATCATGTCGTATTCTTATATAATTTGATGGCTAGGAGCAAACGGTCCTACCCACCATGATTTAAATCAAATGTCATTATTTATTTAAAAGCAGTGGATGGAATTAATTTTTAGTATTTACCTTGAATCCCTGCGGCTGCTATTTATCTCAGTTTTACATATCTAACTTTTTTCATTGCAATTATTCATACACTTAAGTACAACCAAAAAAAAAATAGTAAAGTGTCAAGCATCCTCCGGAGTATTGCTGATTGACATCACTTTTTAATGTTAGATATATATATTTTGGGACTTTTAATAAATCGATAACACCATCGCCTGTTAAACCTCCTCGCGTTTGTTTTGGGAAAATCCAAGTGTAATTTCTTTAAATCTCTTATTAAGATTTCTCGGATTAGGTAGCGCGAAAAAAACGAAAGATCCGGATTCTTTAGCGTTACAGCAAGTCTCTCGCCAACCGGCTGCAAGAACGAAATGACCTTGGGCAGATACAAGACATATTAGGCCGATTTAGCAACAGGACGGGGACGTCAGTTGACGACGGCAAAGCGCGCGGAAAGGACTAAACACGACTTCCGGTGATCAATTTGCCGCTCTGCCATTGGTCAAGCCAGTTATTTGATTTGCGCGCGTCGTCGTCAACTGACGTTCCCGTTCTGTTGCTAAATCAGCCTATTGCAAACATTGGTAACGGCCGCGCGCGCATATCTAAATACCACGTACCAGACTGAGCACCAGAATTCGTCTTTGGTCTCTTCCGCGTACTTTTGCGTTCTCATTGCGATGCGTTGTCTTAGCTAAACTTAGGAAAACCGTTTCTCATTGGACTTTAGCCAACTCGTTCGCCAGAAAAGGGATGTCCCATGGATTTTTTTTTTTTCAAAATTCGATTCGGCTCTGCCTCCAATGAATCCACTCTGAGAAGAGATTATTGAGATTCATAGACTGAAATTTAAGATTTACCAGGTGTATTTGTTAGTTTTATAGTTAGGTTACTGCAGTTACAAGATAATCTACGTTGAACGTGAATGAACGTGAAGTCCTGTTGGAAGTAACTTTTTTTGCTAGTTATACCAGCCATACACGTCAACACAGCTTTCGCCTTCATTATTTTCCTCGCTACAATCAGCAATGTCCTGTCCAAACCAGATCCAGAACTGCTGATTGTGTGACACGCGTAATGGTTCAGAGGTCGTATCGAATATGATTTCAGGCGAAGTGTCATTGACACCGCTGATCTTGTAGGTATACATTTCGTGCTTGCATTTTCCCACTGATCGCCATGGACCTCCCACTTCGACTCCGGCTCTCCTTGGTAGAATAACTCTTCGTTCGTTGGCGTGTGAAATATATGTCATCAGTGTCTTGTCACCATAACGTTCACTTTGACAACCCCAAAAAGAGGGAGAACTTCCATTAAAGCAAACGAGTGTGCCAAAGAGATGAGTAAACTTCAAAACCAAAATTTCGCCAGCTTGAGTGATAGTGAAGCTGCCGTATTTGTCATCTCGTGTTCCAAAACACACCGGCATGGTGTTCACCTTGATCCACGATACTGTAAAATTTATCAAGTTAATTATTGATTAATTATGAGTTGACCTTTTTATGATTTAAGAGTAAATTGGAACTGAGTTCGGGAGCTGAAATCTTCTGTTATAAAGAAAAGAAAATTTGAGCCCCGAAATGCGTAGAGAAATGATTTTATAAGGCAGCTTGAAACTTTCAACATTTACAACTGAATTTTTATCAAATAATAAGTATATGAATTTCATATGTTGGAATGAAGAATTAAATGCAAAGAATATCTTCGCAGTTAAGGATGCATTTAAAGACGCAACTGGCTGTCATAGAAAACAACTCAACCGCGTCACTGGGTAGCAAGAATTACTTTTCCCACTCCGCAAAATGCGCAACTCCGTATAGTTTTGGTGGCCGTTTTAAAATGACCAGTAAAATAGTTTTTCCGTTTTTACAGAAATTTGATAAAGCAAATAACTATTGCAAAAAGCCAAGTAAGGTCATAGCTTCCACAGCAGCTCTAATGTTATATAACATTGTACTTGTGTATATTAATTTTTCATCATCTTGCAGAGCACATCACAATATATACCATAGCAGATAAACACAATCACTAGGGAAGGTTGCTACCCTCGTAGGAGACGGTTGGGGTATAATCTCTTTGTACATGGCAACTTCGTTTCCAGGGCCGCTCTCTCGCGCACGTCCCCCGTCTTTCTCTCTTTGGGGGAAGAATAAGAGAGGACACTATGAATGATGTAGCGCCACATGGTTGACTATAAACCTAATGAGAGGTAGGAAATAATAACAACTGAACCTTTTGAATACCTTTGTCACAGTTATTTCCAGAAAATCCTGCCTGGCATATGCAGCGATAGCCTTGATCAGTGAAGCCATTCTGGCAATGCCGATTTGGCGGACACGGTGATTGGGAACACGGATTTTGCTGAGGAAGAATATATTAATTTAAAATAGTAAACGTTTGATACAAATCTCTTAAATATAATCCTTTTGTAAAATTTGGGGCTTTTGGCGAGAACCTGGCGGATTGGCAGTGTGATAACATCACTGTCTGAATAATGAGGAAAAGGTGTTAAAGCAGTTTTAAAATGTGAAGAATCACTTAAGATATAGTTTTATCACTACAGTCCTTCCCTATCGAGGGAATTGATTTTTCGGGTTACTTAAACTAAAACTGTATCTTGTTTTGGTGACATTTATGATATGAACTTCAATATCAAATAAACCGACCAGTCGTGCTAATTGCAATTGACACTTTGACTCCTAAAAAAAATAATAATAATTAAATGCATTTTGTGTCTTTAATTATGAAAGCCCTTAGTTTAGCTAGTGTAGTGTATTTCTTACTTTGCTGGCACCATATACAAAATCATTTTCTTCCTGAAGGTCTTGAGGATGTTCTCTGTGATCTGAATCACTTAGCTCACAAAGGTGTTCATTGCTCACCAAACGGGAGGCAAAGTTATAAGAGACGCAGTCGTTCTCTAAATAGCAGTTTAACTTGCAGTTTTCTTCGTCTTCCACAAAAATTGACTTGAAAGCGTGACCTATCAGAGCACGGCCTTGTAGTTGTTGGTTAAACTCGAGTTTTCTGCACATACCTGTTAATAAGTAAGTACAAATTAAAATTTAAAGAACGCCGTATTAGAAGAAAACACTCATCCATTCCTCCAATTCTCTTTCAAAAAGAGTCATTCCGTCGTGCCACCTACATGTACAAAGGAGGATTTTGGCTCGAAATTAACACGGTCGAAAGTTTAAAAGTAGGATTAGAGGCCTTTTTTTTTAAATTGTAGTTTACGTTTTCCATATTTCTTGACTTAAATATAATAAAAGAAAGTGATTTCTTTTGTAAATAATTATATTAACAGTCAAAGATAACCCAAATCGTAAACTCAGTTGCACTATAATATTATTTTATTTATTTTTTTTTTTATTCTGAGAGAATCGTCCGTTTTTTGTTTTACTTGACGTTTTAAGAATGCCTCATATTTTGATCTGTAAGCCAGGATGTTATTTTAAGTGCAAGAGCTAGCGTTTACCTTCATTTTCATAAGCGCGCATGGGTTGAAAAGAGACTGCCACGGCCAATATCAAACACACCATTTCGAATTTCGGGTGTATCATCTTGCTCCAAACCTTCAACTCAAGGCTAATCCACTGTCTTTTACTAGGATAGAGTTAAACGCCCTCGCGTCGGAGTCCTTAGGCCATTACACCTAGAGATGTGGTATTTAACTGAGTTTTACCACTGCTGCATAGAGCATACAATTGGTGACGATTAATTATTAAGTAAGGAAAATGAATTTAACTTTCAATCCTAACAAGGTACGTAACGAATCGCCTTACTTCAGTTCTGTAGCTTGACTACGGGTGGTGTGTTTATTGCGAATCTCGTTGTGTCATTTCTAATCAAATTGCTAGGTTTCTGCTTTTATTTGAATATTACTGTTTTTTTTTTTAGCGGACAAAATTTGCACATTCCATTTTACGCGTCTCGAATTTACCTCTGATCATTCACTTAAAAGAAAAAATAAACGACACAAAAATTGAATACATATGAATACATATAAGCTTAAAGAGACGAGAAAACGGAAAAGGAGAAACAAAAATCATTCTAAACGACTACATGCCACGGCCTTTTGCCCAAAAATGCATTGCTTACGTGCACCATCTTCCAAATTAATATGATATAAAAACCCTAACTGTTTTTATGATTGCTTCAACTGTCTTTTAAATAATTTGTTTCATTTCTACGTTAACATTACTGATATATTGAAATGGTAGGTTAAACGTATCTAAGCTGATTCAGTCTCTTCGTATGGTATTTTTACTTTTCTTGGGTATTTACATATAATAGCATATGTTTACTTACAACTGACAAACTAAGTAAATTTTTTAACTCGAAATTTTGTAAAGAATTCATTGCGATTTACAAAGAAAAATGTTTATTTAGCACAATTTAGAATTTTTGGGAGGTAGTTTTGCAACCCAGAGATCACCATATTTTAGTTTTTGGCAAGGCCTGCCTTTCCTAAAGAAAACCGACAACACATCCACTGCACCCACGGTTCTTAGGCAGTCACAGAAGGGCCCTTGCTTTCGATAATATAGCAATAACTAAACAAAAAACGTTTTCTTTGGCGTTTTAAAATTATTATTAATTTATTTTAATTTTTCTTTTCTTTGCGAGGACCATTTTGAAATAGTCAGTCGGCTGGGTGATGGATCTGGAAACGGGCAATACTCGGAAGCTGATCGGATATCACATTAACGACGAGTGATCGGATGGTTTCACACTTTTCGTAATTTCCAACTGTCCCAGACCCCGAAGAATTCTTCGTTCCAGAGGCCTGTTTCTCCAGGTAACTTTTCGGGCGCGGAAAAGCTGATTTATGTTTACCGTGTTTGCATTATTCAAGATCAAAGTTTCAGTAATTCTGAAAATGATACAATGAAACTATCACTTGACGAAGCAAATTTGACTGATTTGTTAACTAGGAACTGTGCTACAATCCAACAGGTTTTGATTCTAAAATTTGCGTTCGGCCCCGAAAAGTTTCCGGGCCTTTCGAAAAGGAAACATGAACATATTTTACCCATTTTAAGGTCTCTTCATTGGTTGCCTGGTCCGGAAAAAATTTATTTCTTGCATTGAAATCACTTAATGGTGCATCATCGCCTTATACGGAAGAACTGTTAATTCGTTATAGCCGGACAAGGACTCTGCGCTCTGCAAATAAAGGACTCCTTGTTCAGCCTAAGTATAACCTTAAAACATATGGTTACAGAGCTTTTTCACACGCAGCTCCTAAGATATGGAATTCCATGCCAGCCAGTTTACACACATGCATGTTGTGAGCTGAACGCTTTCAGATCCGAAAAATCAAACATTCTTTTTAAGCTTGGTTTTTAGTAGTAATTTATGTTTTTTTTAAAAAACAATTAATTCATTTTAATATTTAAGTAGGTTTATTACTATTAGTATTGTAAAGCGCTATGGATCACTAAGAGGAAGGCGCTATATAAATGTATGTTATCATTATCATTATTATTTATTTATTAAATGGGATCTGTTACGCCCCTAGTTTTTGGAACCAACGGTGGCATGGGAGCCGACTGCAACTGTTTTCTCAAACGCCTAAGGGAGAAGCTCTCAGAAGAGAATGAGGAACCTTATCTCATTACTATTACTTGGATTAGAACATTGCTTTATTTTGAGATTTTAAGGTCCGTACACACATGCGTAAGAGGTTCTAGGACAGGACACCATTCCACAAAATTCCATAAGGGGGATTCATTGATGACTGCCGTTTAAACGCTACCCAAGCGTGTGTGATAATGGCGTGAGCTCGTAAATTAGTTAAGTTGAATTGAACCGTGTTGTACTCCTTGTTTAGGGAAAGAACTAGGAACAACCTTTCCATGTCGGATTATGCGTGTAACTTAATTTGTTCCTGCTGTCTAGGCAAGTTTTTTTTTCTTTTGAACGTCTCGTTAATTTTCCTTTATTCGAAAGCCGGCGTTTTTTCATTAAATTTGCGTTAATTTTCTATAATAAGGTATTTTTAGAACATTATAAAAACCTTTATTGCTCTCAAAACAATAGAAGACAATGGATTACAATGGTATTTCACAGTAGAACCCAAATGATTCTTTAATGTAAAAGAAAAAAAAAAGAAAACCGAAACGTCGTGGATTTTCGTTAAAAAACTGACGCACTGGTTTAGGTATGCTCTATTTTGCACTGTCCATATTAAAATCTTCCCCAGCTTCTTTATTTATTTTACCGATTTATGAGTTTTGTATCCAATGCAATATATTGACTGACACGTTATCCTCATATTCCTTTTAACAGGCACTAGTTATCAAAATACAGCGATTTGTTAATAATAGCTTCTTACTGTCGTGGCAGATCTCGCTACGTACGAGATTAGTGGGTCGTATGAAATTGTCCACCTATGCAAAAGTCATCACCTCGTTTCATTGTGAGTGTTTTATTAATGCGGTAAAATAATCGAGACTCTTAAGTTTGGTTATGATATATTTTAGTTGACATTGATTTTCTTTAATTGCTGCTTAGAAAACTTCATAACTGAGCTTTTAGCCGTACTTATGCCTGGAACTTTACCATATATACCAGCCAAACACATCAACACAACTCTCGCCACTATTGTTATCTTCACTGCAATCCGCCATGTCCTGACCGTACCAGATCCAAAACTGCTGATCCAGTGTCACCTGTAACGGATCCGACGATGTGTTGAAGATGAGTTCAGGAGATTCGTCATTGAACCCGTCAAACTTGTAGGTGAAGACATTCGTACACTTTGAGCCCTCAGGGCGTGCTATTTGAGTTATATTTGGTCGCGGCAAAAGTATGCTTCGCTGATTTGGGTGCGAAATGAATGTCATCAATGTCTTGTCGCCGTAAACGGAGCTCCTACATCCCCAGTAAGAGGTAGCGCTTTCTTCAAAGCACACCAGAGTGCCGGAAAGGTGTGCAAGTTTCAAAGCCCCAAGAGACCCCGCTTTCGAAATGCTGAAGGAACCGTGGATGTCATCCTTTGGGCCAAAACAGACAGGATCGTTGTTTATCTTGACCCAAAGATCTAAATAGAACAACAAGAACACAAAGAAACTGCCGATATAACTCCAGATGCTACATTTAATGTACCGTACCCATAAATTAAGCATTTTTTTTTTACTATAACTGCCAGACTTAATTTCTCTCTTTCTTTTTATTTATGCAAACGTTTGATCCGGCATGCATGAATTACTTGCAGTGCGGTGATAATGCACTCAAGCCATACCATGGCGCTACTGTACCCTCAATGAAGCAAGTTAGTCGGCTATAAAGCTGCATTCCCAAGTACCCACGAGGGACCATTTTTCACAGATTGTTTAGTAAGCTAAGAAATTGGCAAAAGGAAACACTTAAAGGCCGGATAACTAGACTGAAAATTTGGTGCCCAACAGCTTCACATGTAGCAAGTATTAGCCAAATCAGTTATCAGAATGTATATCACCTGGTAGTGGGTGAGTTGTAGCAACTGGTGTTGTTGTTGGATGAGATGTTGCTTGTGCCGGTGACGAAAATTCTGTAGGTATTATTGCTTAAAAAAAGGAAATAAATCAATAAACTAATTAACTAACACAGATAAGAAGTGCGATTTGTAACTTTCTTTTAACTTATATGTGTCACACAGTTCTCCCAGCTGTGACTAGTTTCAAAAACTGTTCACGGTAAACATAACGTATTGTGGTGGAAAGTCTATGCGATAGTTACTTCTTAAAGTTGGGGCAGATTCCTTGAGAAAACGCATCTTTTGGGGGTGGGGGAGATACACGTAACAAACCTTTCAGTTTAATTTTCAAAATAAAACAAGCCTTCTAGTTTAATTTTGTTACGTTTATCTCCCCTACCCCCAAAAGATGCGTTTCATATTAAAATATACCTTTATCGCAATACTTTCCTGCAAAACCGTGTTTGCATTTGCAGTAGTAGGTGTTATCTTCCGGGTCCATCTTGCACTTACCATGTAGGGAGCAAAGGTTCTTAACGCAGGCATTCTGCAGAAACATAATCAGCGTTAGAAAGACATTTTCGTAATAAGAAAAGGATAAGCATACTAAAAAAAATAACGAGAACTGAAGAGTAAACCAAATCAAATCAGGAAGACTATATTTACATTGTAATATCATAGGTGACGAATTACTCCTTAATTTTGGCGCGAAATTTCAGCGTTAATTTGTAATTTCACATGTGAAATTACTAAATTGCCATGGCAACCTGCCGTACGTCTCCGTTTCAAGATGGCGACGAAGTTTAAAATGTCATGAATGAAGATGTCAGGGCATAAAAAGACGCTTTAGAAAAACTGAACACACGAAAGAGCACATCAAGAAGGATTCTTAGAGGTATGTTGTCGAAACATTCTGAAAACTTAAGCCAAATTTCAGCTCTAAACGTTTGAGAGAGTGGAGTTCACGATCGATCGATACGATCCAGGATACACAAGTCAAAAATCGTCGATTGCTAAGGTAATTCGTCACCCATGATATTAATAGGTAATCAAATGGTATACTTGTGAAATTAGGGAATAATTTCACGCGCGTTTTGTTCAAATCCTAATAATTTCCCTCGCCTAAAGACTCGGGAAATTATAAGGATTTGAACAAAACGCGCGTGAAGTTATTCCCTAATTTCGCTCGTCACCATTTGATTACACATACTAATATAAATGAGGATCGAAATAAACTAGAGAATTCTGTGTTCTCAAATATTTTTTTCCTCCTCTAGCAATATTTTTTAAAAGCCTCCCTTAATAAGTTTATTTTCTTCCGCTTAAGCTAAACAAATTTTGGTGAAACTTTTTAAAAAAAAAATTAATTAATTGAACGTGTAAATCTTTCTTTCAGTAACATTACGCCATACTTACCAATTCTATTTCTTTTCCTTCTTGTATAATAGTACATCAAAAGCTAAACTAGTTTTATCTCGATGAGTTAATCAATTAAATTAATTTCTAAGATCGCGAATTACAAGCAACCAAACCAACCACTCAATTGGGAAAAAGAGAAACAGAGTCAAAGAAAACTCGTGCCCTATATAACCATGCCATTTAAAAATTTCTCAACGGAACCTTAGACGCTTAGGGCGAGTTATTTAAACGAAGTCTAACTTAGGCCGCGGTTAAAGAAATCATTGGCCCTCCAGATCTCTTCATAGTGGGTTAATTTGAGAAAATAAGTGCTTTTCCAGTCTACGCTAATATGCTTTATTAAAATTGTTCGCGATAAAAGGTGTTTAGTTACAATTAAATTGTTAAGCAATCTGAAAATGGTTTAGAACGTGGTTTTGTTAAACATAGGCTAAACTCTGTTTAAATATCTGGTCCTTAGCTTTTGCTGGCTGCGTCCTTTCAGAAACTTCCAGCGGTCTTTAGAAGCAACATTGAGCCGGCACTGGACGTTGTTGGTCTGATCTCCAGCCAATGGGGGTTAGTCTGCAGAGACGGCTAATAATTCCGACTAAATTTAACAAAGAATTAATTTTTGGTGTACAATAGACCCTAAACGAAGTCTAACTTAGACCGTGGTCTGTGAAAGCTTTGGACCCCAGATCTCTTCCTTAATGGAGTATTGTAAGGGGACAAATTCTTTTTTAGTCTTCTTTATTAACTGTACACGATAAATGGTGTTAACATAAAAGCTTTCGGCAAACTGAAAATGGCTTAAAAGGCGGTTTTTTTAAACAATGGCTAAACTCCGTTTAAACAACTGGCCCTGTGTAATCAAGAGCACTACTTTTCGGTCGACGTGCTAAGACTGCTAATTTTAAAACAGTTCAGTGTACCTTGGTCCCTCTGTAAATGAAGCCACTGCTTTTTTTCGGATCACCAGGATGTTGCATGTGGTCAGAGTCGCTTAATTGGCAGACAGAAAGCCCACTTGGATGTCGGCCGAAGTTGTAAGACAAGCCGTCGTTGTCAAGGTAACACGCAACTCGGCATACTTCTTGTTTGTCGAGATAAATAGTCTTGAACACGTGAGTTATAAGGGCGTTTCCGTCAAGCGGTGGAGCGAACTCAGGTATTCTACAGACACCTTCCCAAAAAATACAGCAAAATTTAATTTAATCAAATAAGATACTTTTCGAGAATAAAAAAATAGTGTTGTGTTTTCTTTAGAGTAGTGTAACACAATAATGGATAAACATACAGTAAATTTTATTCTGTTTTTTATGCCTTTGGACGTAGGTTCAAACAAACATACCGATCTATACCCTAAAGTTTGTACTAACAAGAATCTGGTAATCCTGCTTGGCTCAGCAAGTTCATGTATTATTGGTTATTAAAGTGGCAAATTTCTAACAGGAAATTCTCAATAAACTATACCAGGTTCTTATTCGCGGGTGTTAACTGTAACGAGGGGATTAAGATTTGTTTGTGCACTGATTTATACATTCTAAACTTGTGTAACAACAGCTAACTGGCTTTACATCAGATTACTAAATACGTCTTATCTCGTCACCTAAGGGACAGGACTGTCCCCTTAATTGAGAAGAATGACTGTCAAAGTTAGTGTTCGACATTGTGTGAAAAATATCAGCGGTTTCTTTTTACCATTGACAAATTCCCTAGGTTATGTCTGTTCTAAAATGCATTCAGAATCATGTATTAATTAATTAACGATACAAGGAGGTATCCTAGCCTCAAAGAATCGCACATGCAAATTACGTGCGATGATGCATTAAAGACGTTTTCAAAGATTGTGAAACAAAAGAGGACGTGCTTGCACGGAATATCATGTAGTACGAGATGAAATCGAAAAAATAAAGACACTTAAGGGGAAGAAATTATCAAATTTACTAACAAATTTACCGGCCAAAAAAACTAGTCGGGGAGGGGGGGTGATTTCACCTTGAATTCTCTGCGTAGAACTTGGTTAAGTCTCAAGCGTCCTCCGTCATTTAGGGCCTTTAAGCAGCTAGAGTGTATGGACAAGTCCAGAGTGTCTTTTTGATGGACTTGAATGTTTCGTTTGCTAATCAGGAACCAAGAAGAAAGTCACCTTAAGAGAACCATGGGTAAGAGCTGAGTTTCTTAGCGATATTTACTTTAGTTGAGCCAGTTTAAGGTGTGTGGGCTCCTGGAGTCCGATGGTGCGGTTTTCATAAATCCGGCTAGATATATTTTGGGACTTTTAATGAATCGATAACACCATCGCCTGTTAAACCTCCTCGCGTTTCTTTTGGGAAAATCCAAGTGTAATTTCTTTAAATCTCGTATTAAGATTTCTCGGATAAGGTAGCGCGAAAAAAAACGAAAGATCCGTATTCTTTAGCGTTACAGCAAGTTTGTCGCCAACCGACTGCAAGAACGAAATGACCTTGGGCAGATACTAGACATGGTAACGGCCGCGCGCGCATATCTAAATACCACGGACCAGACTGAGCACCAGAATTCGTGTTTGGTCTCTTCCGCGTACCTTTTGCGTTCTCATTGCGTTGCGTTGTCTTAGCTAAACTTAGGAAAACCGTTTCTCAGGGGACTTTAGCCAACTCGTTTTTTTTTTTAAAATTTGATTCGTTTCTGCCTCCAATGAATCCACTCTGAGAAGAGATTATTGAGATTCATAAACTGAAATTTAAGATTTACCAGGTGTACCTGGATTTCCCTAAAACGCATCTTTAGAGGCAGACCAGTAAAGGAGGACAGGCGCCTGTGGCGTGTATTTGTTAGTTTTATCGTTAGGTTAACTGCAGTTACAAGATAATCTACGTTGAACGTGAATGAACGTGAAGTCCTGTTGGAAGTAATTTTTTTTGCTAGTTATACCAGCCATACACGTCAACACAGCTTTCGCCTTCATTATTTTCCTCGCTACAATCAGCAATGTCCTGTCCAAACCAGATCCAGAACTGCTGATTGTGTGACACGCGTAATGGTTCAGAGGTCGTATCGAATATGATTTCAGGCGAAGTGTCATTGACACCGCTGATCTTGTAGGTATACATTTCGTGCTTGCATTTTCCCACTGATCGCCATGGACCTCCCACTTCGACTCCGGCTCTCCTTGGTAGAATAACTCTTCGTTCGTTGGCGTGTGAAATATATGTCATCAGTGTCTTGTCACCATAACGTTCACTTTGACAACCCCAAAAAGAGGGAGAACTTCCATTAAAGCAAACGAGTGTGCCAAAGAGATGAGTAAGCTTCAAAACCAAAATTTCGCCAGCTTGAGTGATAGTGAAGCTGCCGTATTTGTCATCTCGTGTTCCAAAACACACCGGCATGGTGTTCACCTTGATCCACGATACTGTAAAATTTATCAAGTTAACTATTGATTAATTATGAGTTGACCTTTTTATGATTTAAGAGTAAATTGGAACTGAGTTCGGGAGCTGAAATCTTCTGTTATGAAGAAAAAGAAAATTTGAGCCCCGAAATGCCTGGAGGAATGATTTTATAAGGCAGTTGGAAACTTTCAAAATTTACAACTGAAGTTGTATCAGATAATAAGTATATGAATTTCATTTGTTGGAATGAAGAATTAAATGCAAAGAATATCCTCGCAGTTAAAGATGCATTTAAAGACGCAACTGGCTGTCATAGAAAACAACTCAACCGCGTGACTGGGTGTCAAGAATTGTTTTTCCCACTCCGAAAAATGCGCAAATCCGTATAGTTTTGGTGGCCGTTTTAAAATGACTGGTAAAATAGTTTTTCCGTGTTTCCAGAAAGTTGATAACGCAAATAGCTATTGCAAAAAGCCAAGTAAGGTCATATCTTCCACGGTAGCTCTAATGTTATATAACTTAGTACTTGTGTATATTAATTTTTCATCATCTTGCAGAGCACATCACATTAAATACCATAGCACGTAAACATAACCACTAGGGAAGGTTGCTACCCTCGTAGGAGACGGTTGGGGTATAATCTCTTTGTACATGGCAACTTCGTTTCCAGGGCCGCTCTCTCGCGCACGTGCCCCGTCTTTCTCTCTTTGGGGGAAGAATAAGAGAGGACACTGAATGATGTAGCGCCACATGGTTGACTATTAACCTAATGAGAAGTAGGAAATAATAACAACTGAACCTTTTGAATACCTTTGTCACAGTTATTTCTGGAAAATCCTGCCTGGCATATGCAGCGATAGCCTTGATCGGTGAAGCCATTCTGGCAATGCCGATTTGGCAGACACGGTGATTGGGAACACGGATTTTGCTGAGGAAGAATATATTAATTTAAAATAGTAAACGTTTGATACAAATCTCTTAAATACCGTATTTATTCGATTAACCGCCCTGGGCGCTTATTAAATGTTTGGACCTTGAGAGTGGGCGCTTATTCGAGGTGGGTGTTTATTCGAGGCTGGGCGCTTATTAAATTTTCACCGTTCTCAGCAAGTGTAGTAGTATATTTTGCAACAAAACTGTAAATGGTACTAACAAAAAGTGAAGATGTAGCAAAGCAAGGTTTCTGTAAAATACTCTGAAGAAAACTCCGTCTTCGGGAGGGTCTCTTATTATCTCTTATTGGAGTTTTTGTGAGAGGGAGTGTGGTGGGGTGGGCGCTTATTCGAGGCTGGGCGCTTATTAACGTTTTCTGTCTTTAGCATGGGCGCTTATTCGAATAAATACGGTATGATCCTTTTGTAAAATTTGGGGCTTTTGGCGAGAACCTGGCGGATTGGCAGTGTGATAACATCACTGTCTGAATAACGAGGGAAAGGTGTTAAAGCAGTTTTAAAATTAAGTGAAGAATCACTTAAGATATAGTTTTATCACTACAATCCTTCCCTATCTAGGGAATTGATTTTTTGGGTTACTTAAACTGAGACTGTATCTTGTTTTGGTGACATTTCTGATATGAACTTCAATATCAAATAAACCGACCAGTCGTGCTAATTACAGTTGACACTTTGACCCCTAAAAAAAAAAAAAGTTAAATGCATGTTGTGTCTTTAATTATGAAAGCCCTTAGTTTAGCTAGTGTATTTCTTACTTTGCTGGCACCGTATACAAAATCATTTTCTTCCTGAAGGTCTTGAGGATGTTCTCTGTGATCTGAATCACTTAGCTCACAAAGGTGTTTATTGCTCACCAAACGGTAGGCAAAGTTATAAGAGACGCAGTCGTTCTCTAAATAGCAGTTTAACTTGCAGTTTTCTTCGTCTTCCACAAAAATTGACTTGAAAACGTGACCTATGAGCGCACGGCCATGTAGTTGTTGGTTAAACTCGAGTTTTCTGCACATACCTGTTAATAAGTAAGTACAAAATAAAATTTAAAGAACGCTCTATTAGAGGAAAACACTCATCCATTCCTCCATTTCTCTTTCAAAGAGTCATTCCGTCTTGCCACTAGACTACGAGCAGTCCCCCATTTTTCCTCAGGGATAGTAGAGCGAGCAAAACGCGAGCGCGCGTGAAAATCACCCCACGCGAGAAAGGGCGACACGCTTTTTCTCTCTCCCCGCCGCGTGTCGCCTTTTCTCGCGTGGGGTGATTTTCACACGCGCTCGCGTTTCGCTCGCTCTACTATCCCTGAGAAAAAATGGGGGACTACTCGTAGTCTATCGTGCCACCTACATGTACAAAGGAGGATTTTTGGCTCGAAATTAACACGGTCGAAAGTTTAAAAGTAGGGTAAGAGGCCTTTTTTTAAAATTGTAGTTTACGTTTTCCATATTTCTTAACTTAAATATAATAAAAGAAAGTGATTTCTTTTGTAAATAAACAGTCCAAGATAACCCAAGTCGTGAGCTCAGTTGCACTATAATATTATTTTATTATCATTTTTTTATTCTGAGAGAATCGCTCGTTTTTTGTTTTAGTTGACGTTTTAAGAATGCCTCATATTGTGCGTTTACCTTCATTTTCATAAGCGCACTTGGGTTGAAAAGAGACTGCAACGGCCCATAACAAACACACCATTTCGAATTTCTTGGGTATCATCTTGCTCCAAACCTGCAACTCAAGGCTAGTCCACTGATTTACTAGGATAGAGTTAAACGCCCTCGTGTTGGAGTTGTTAAGCCATTACACCTAGAGATGTGGTATTTAACTGTGAGTTTTACCACTGCTGCATAGAGCTTACAATTGGTGACGATTAATTATTAAGTAAGAAGAATGAAATTAACTTTCAGTCCTAACTATATACGTGACGAATCGTCTTACTTCAGTTCTGTAGCTTGACTACGGGTGGTGTGTTTATTGCGTATTGTCATTTCTAATCAGATTGCTCGGTTTCTGCCTTTATTTGAATATTACTGGGTTTTTTTAGGGGACAAGATTTTTCTCATTCCATTTTACGCATCCCGAATTTACTACTGGTCATTCACTTAAAAAAGGACAGAAAAAATTGAATACATATGAATACACAGGTTTAAAGGGGCTACAAAAAAGGAGAAACAAAAATCATTTTAAACGACTACATGCGACGGCCGTGTGCCCAAAAATGAATTGCTTACGTGCACCATCTTGCAAATTAATATGATATAAACACCTAACTGTTTTTATGATTTACTCAACTGTCTTTTAAATAATTTGTTCCAGTTCTACGTTAACCTTACTGATATATTAAAATGGTAGGTTAAACGTATTTAAGTTGATTCAGTCTCGTACTGGCTGATCTTCATAAGGTATTTTTCTTGGGTATTTACATAAAATAGCATATGTTTACTTAAAACTGACAAACTAAGTAAATTGTTTAACTCAAAATTTTGTAAAAAATTCATTGCGATTTACAAAGAAAAATGTTTATTTAGCAAAATTTAGAATTTTTGAGAGGTTCGGTTGCAATCCAGCGTCACCATATTTTAGTTTTTGGCACGGCCTTCCTTTTCTAAAGAAAATCAACAAAACATCCACAACACGCTTCTTAGGCAGTCACAGAAGGGCCCTTGCATTCGATAATATAGCAATAAATAAAAGAAAAACGTTTTCTTTGGTGTTTTCAAATTGTTATTTAATATTTTTTTCTTTGCGAGGACCATTTTGAAATAGTCCGCCGGATGGTGATGGATCTGGAAACGGGCAATACGCGGAAGTTGATAGAATATCATTAACGGCAAGTGATCGGATCGTTTGACAATTTTCGGAATTTCCAACTGTCCCGGACCCCAAGAATTCTTCGTTCCAGAGGCCTGCTCCTCGCGGTAACTTTTCGGGCGCGGAAAGCTGATTTATGTTTGCCCTGTTTGCATTATTCAAGATCAAAGTTTCAATAATTCTGAAAATGATACATGAAACTATCACTTATCGAAGCAAAATTGTAAAGCGCTATGTATCACCAGAAGAAAGGCGCTATATAAGTATATATTATTCTCATTTATTACTATTATTATTATTATTATTATTATTATTATTATTATTATTATTATTATTATTATTATTATTATTCAGTGCCTTTTCAATCCTTTATATTACGTCATTTAGTATTCGTACCAACCGCAACAACAAGAAACTACCAAAAGAACGTGAGAGATTTTTCTCCCTTTTCATCCCACAGGCCTCGGATCGATCGAGTGGCGGACAAGAGAACTCTCCGTTGGAGAGGCTCAATTCAGGTTGAACCGACAATTGAAATACCCAGAAACACTAGTGACCACGTCGTTGCCAGAAAAGATACAAGCAGTAACTTACTGGTGTCAAGGCAGTTTCTTCCGTCTTCAGCCCTGCTGTTCAACATAAGTTGATCTCGCAATGATCTCGAAGCACTTCAAACTGCCAGTGATTCAAGCTGGATTGGATAAGCGAAGCCGATTGCAATAGAGGCGCGTCCGCGAGGGGGCTGTTGTTAGGCTATATTCATGGGACATCCTCGGAGACCCTGCTCCGGGCATATTGGAAAATGATATTTTTGTTGTCCCAACAAAATTTTGCATAATCATTGTTTTCAATTTCTCTTTGGGGAGTTGTGAGGACTTGGAGTACATTTGTAGCTTTTGTACCCAACTGACTACTAATTTTCATTGTAAATAGAATGAAAAACAGATGCACCAACGCTGCAGTTGCTGAGATGCAGAATATTGCGCCTGCTTTATCAGGCTATTTGTATGTTTATTCCGAAAAGAAGAGAATAACAAGATAATTACATGCCTGGAGAAAACAAGTATAAATATCAAAATGGCAGTTTTTGTTACGTTTTTTCGGTTAATAACCATTTTATACTATCTAGCTCCCAAGGAATAGGAGAAGGTAAACAAAAATGAATGGAAACAAGCGAAAAACGACGAATTTATTCAACACAACACGCGGTCAGCGCGATCAATTAGAGCACAGGCTCAGTCG